GGCCTTCATCAGGTTATTTTTTTTTTTTTTTTTTACTGATGTACTCCCCATGAAAAAAAATTTAGCTTAATTTCTAACATACTATGAAACATTAATAAGTTTCAATGACTTAACTGTAGAATTGAAATCTATATGAATGGTCAAAATTGCCTTCATGTGTTATATTTGCACTGTTTTTAGGATGGAATGTGATTACCCCCCCGCTCCAGTTTAGGTTGGTCTTATCTTCTAATTATTTATTTCATTACTATTAGCTTATTAGCTTTCTTTTATTACTTAATGCCATTGCATTTATAATGATTTTTTACTTGTTTGGCGCTAGTATCTTCACATACACACTCTTAAAAATGTGCTTCTGGCCCAATTGCACTCAAGAGAGAAAATTTGATGAACTTTGAATGGTCAATTCCAGGATTCCAACTCTGTGGTAGCACCATCTTCATTGTATTAAGAGTTGGAATGGTGTAATATTGATGACAGTGGTCACAGAGACTGGGCAGTTTTTGTCCTTGGCCTGTATACATATTCATATGTATGGACGCCTGATGTTAAAAAATGATCTTGTGTCACATTCTGCCTTAATGAGGAGGTTGGGTGAATAATCAACCCATTTTTCAAATGGAAAAAAAGCTTTTTAAAAAAGTACATAATTTATACAATAGTTAGGCCTTTGTTGTAACATTAATGTTAACAAAATATGACAGATCTTGTATATTTTCTTTAATTTTTTTTGACTTTTAATCAATTTTGTTGAATTTGAGACAAAAGACATTCAATTACACTGATTCCCAAAGAACAAATATTGCCAACATATCAAATAACTTTTGTAAACAATTGTTGTCAACACCTGCTTGCTTTGTGTTTTATCTATTGGGCTGAGTGGATTTGTAACCTTACTGTTTTAAATAAGAGGTTTTTTAAGCTGAGTAAAAATTTCTAAAAATGTGTACTTAAATATAATATACCTCCCACCATTTTGCATTTAAATTCTGTCAAGAATTTATTGTATTAGGCACAATAAAATACAGTAATACTTATTGGCTGGTCGATCAAATGTGTGGATTATAAGACTTTAGTTTACTTGAGATTATAAATTCACTAGATTTCTTTTCAATCTTTAATGGTGAACATTATCCATGTTAATTGGTGGCAAAGACAAGTGAACACTGGTGAGTTAGTGGCCTTTAAGCTGGGAATAAAGGACTGAAATTTTTATGATAGAGCATGTGGACAACTTTGCAAATTGGCAAATTCTTTTTTGTCTTAATTGTGGTTGTTATAATGCTACCAGTGTGTCTCACCTGTCACCTGAAATCTAACCACACCTGAACGGCAATAAATCATCATTGAAATATCTCTCTCTCTTTTTTTTTTTTTTTTTTTTTTTTTTTTATGAAAGTTATGGATTTTTTTGTGTTTCTCAAATGATAAATGTCCTAAGAAGCAATATTTTGTTTGTTCTGTTCCCCACTCCCCATGCTTGTTTTCATTTTTCTATACTTAAAAAATGCAAACATCTGTATACAAAGCAGTTTATTTTGACAGTTATTAAGTATCAAAATTCTATCTAGGCCAATATATTTTAATCTCTTTTTATCAATTCTGGTTATTTTCTTTCTTTTTCTTGCCCGGTATGAATGCTATTAATTTTTTTTTTTTTTTTTTTTTTTTTAACACATATTTCAACTATTTTGTCTTGATGTTATCCAATGTTTGCAAAAGCTGCATAGTTTCCATTGTATTACAAATAGATAAAATCTGTTTCATTCTAATTGTCTCTCCACTGACCACAATTTGTTTCAAATATACATAGTAAATTTAAAAAAAAAAAAAAAAATCTTAAATGGTTGTCTGAATTTTTTATATCTGTGATTTAAATCTGTTTATCTAACAGATTTCAGAGATAGCTATGTGTAAAAGCAATGCCAGATCATCTTTGGCGGTATTTATTTTAGCAAGTGATAACAATAAAATTTATAATGTGAGATAAAATTAGCAATAAAAAATATATATATATATATATATATATATATATATATATATATATATATATATATATATATATATATATATATATATATATATGTGTGTCATTGAGGTTTGCGTTAGTACGATGAATGACAAAACGACAAAATTCCCCCACCACTTCCACAATAACACCAATACACGCAATCTACATAAACCCCAATTTTTTAAAACATTAATCAGTTTGTCTGACGATCGCTAAAGCGTGAAACCCAGGGTCACAAACTCACATCTATCAACCAAAATATATATATATATATATATATATATATATATATATATATATACACACACACACACTCATAACTTTGATATAGAACATTAGTTTGTGTGTGTAATATAAAATTTTAAGATATTCTCCCCCACCCTAATATTCTGTTTTCAAAAGAAAATGATTGAGAATAGTAATTTTGGACAATAATCTCTTCAACCTTCTATAATATTTTTAAACTGTTGTACACACATCTACAGAGATGGCCAGTTTGAAATGTTTTTCTTAGTGAGGAAATCCTATTTTTAAATTTAAGTTTAGGTGTTTAACCACTTTTAGTATTTTGCAAAATATCCAAGTTTGAAAAAGAAACTTGCAGAACATAGGTGCAATGAATGCCAAAGAATCAAAAATTATATTAACATTTACTATAAATCACACACACTTTTCTAATCCTTTTCCTCGATCTCTCTTGGAATGGCAGCTCTGACTTCAAAGGTATTTCTTTCTCAATATACATATATTTGATTGATTTATTTTGTGTTCTCTTATTCTCCCTAAATTTCCATACTAATTTATTGTCTGTAGACTGATTAAATAAGGAACACGTAGGAGAACCTTTATAAATTTAACTATTTCACTATTTAGCTTAACCAGCAACTTTTGAAAGTGAAATAATGTGGAGTTACATTTTAAATTTTTACATTCTGTGTTTTGGTTTCATTGGTTGGGTAAAAACATTTATAGAATGCAATTTTTTTCATTAATCCTGCTATTTCACTGATGAAACATTGCTTCCAATATTGACTCCTAACCTTCAACCCAACCCAGATATTTTTTCATCTTTCCCTGGGTTTTGTTTTACAACCCTCCTATTTCTGACCTTTCTTGATTGTCCACTGAGAATAAGAACTGAAGGATTATTATATTGAGACAGTTTGTTTGTTTGTTTTTTTTTGTTTTTTTTTTTCAAAATATTATCCGTATTTTATTTACTAAAATCTTGTTAGTCACTGCCTGAGAAAAAATGAAAAACTTGTTTTGATTTTTCTAAATTATTTTAACTGTTGCTTACATATATGTACATATATAGAACTATAGATCAATGAATTTTAGAATTATTAGGCCCTGTTTATAAAACAAAAACACAAAAAATTGTAATATCAGTTTTAACTATTTTCAAAAATAAGTTTCAAAAGGAAATGCATTAATTGGTTTGTTTAGAATGACAAATGCAATTTTATGGGTACCAATATTCAAAGAACTTGGTTAGTTATTTTAGTGCATCATTTTACTTACAATTATTGCCATGTGACAAAAACAATAGTTAGAACATTGTTTAAACAAATTAACTGTAAATAATCAAGTGTAAATTTTTATAGCCATCTGTCACTTATATTATTGTCAACTAAGACTTTTTACATTTACATAAGTTACAAAGTAATTGAACGCAGTTAGACAAAATTAGTGAATTTTATACATTTTTACATAATGGTCAGATAGTTTTAACAGGCTCTTTTCTTTTTTTTATTTTAGCAGATTTACACCCATGTGTAATTTTTATTTTATTTTTTTTTTAATTGGGGAAAAACTAATTAGCTTATAAAATAAATAAGAAAAAAAGAAAGTTAAATTGTTTTAATAGGGATGGATGAGAAAAGAACCTTCTTGATTGCCTTTGGAGATAATCTGAATGAGAGAAAATATAAATGATTGTAACTGGTGACATAAAAAAAAATAGAATAGTTATTTTATTTTTGAAAAAATTGAATTATGATAATTTGGACAAAGTCAGTTTAAAAAACCTTGGAACTCCCTTAGATAATTAAGGGTCTTCTTGAATTAACTTAGCCACAGTAGGTCACCTTGATTATATAAAGTGTTTCATATTTGATAACAATGTGTGGAAAGAAAGTTAATTTTTTTTTTTTTATCACTAATATTTCCTTTATCGCCCCAAATTTTTAATACTTTAACGTGTACCAAGTTTATTGCTTTCTTTGTCTGCCTTTTTTCTAACCTTTTTTTTTTTTCATCTCACAGTTGAAGTTTACTAAATGGAAAAGCTACTGAAAAAATATTCGCCATCTGTTACAGAAGGGTTTTGTTCTGATTGTGAATGAAATCTAACCCAGAGAATGTAATATATATATATATATATATGTATGTATATATAAAACTGAATGCTTTTACTTAAGATCTTTTTCCTCTTCAGCTATGAAATTGTTTATTTTTAATGTCAAAAATTAGTGAAATACTGCAAAAATGATGATCATCTTTTAGTTGCATGTAAAACTTCAAAAGATCTGTTTAAAATAATGATCTGTTGATTGTATGAAAAAACCTTTCATTAATAGTAAGTCTTATTAATGACTTATTTTCCTAATGACAATATTCTTAGAAAATCTTCTGCTGATTATGCAGCAATTAAAATATTTGGAAATTTTTAATGCGTTCAATCTTTTGATTTTTTTTTTTAAATGTTTCATAAGTAATGTTCATAATTGATCAGTGCTGACAAAGCTCAATTGAAAAGAGATGGTCCATTATTTAGATTAATCAATTTATATACAGTATTTAGTTCTAACTCCCAGTCATTGTTTTTCTATTAACAAAAAACACCAAAGCTAAAGGGATGAGGAAATTCTTCAATGATATTTCTTTTGGGTTTGCTTCTTTTTCTTTTTTTTTTTTTTTTTTTTTTTTTTTTTTTCTTTAATTAAAACAATGTTTCTTTTATATATTTTTCTATTTTTATTTGCAGCCCAAACTTTACCGAGCAGTTGTCGAGGATGTAATAAGCAGTGTACGTGAAGCCTTTTTAGATGAAGGTGTTGATGAGCAAGTATTACAGGAATTAAAACAGGTAAATAACTAAAGAGGCTTTTTTTTTTTTTTTTTTTTTTTTTAATCTAATTGCTTTAAAATCTTAAATCTGGATATTTATTGGGTGTAAAAAAAAAAAAAAAAAAATTAATGTTTTTGATCAGGCTGAGAACATTAATTCCTTAACTATTGAAAATAGATCAACTGGAAAATGAATTTTCCAGTTTTTAAATATTTTTCTTACATCCATTTTATTTTTCTTATTGTTTATTAATATATGAGCCTTTCAAACAATCTCCATCTCTATCATATATATATATATATATATATATATATATATATATATATATAATCTGTTGTATACTTAAAGAGGTTACAAACAGACAAAAGTGGTACTCAAGTGAAGAGACAGCAACACGCGTCAGGGGAATCGAGTGTCAGGCTAGTAATTCCTGAAGCAGGCCCCCAGGTATATCCTGTGCTCACTATATATAGCTACTGATATAGTCAGTCCACATAGACAATAGGAAGTGTGGGACATTCCATTACAACACCTGCCCCTGAGCTAACTTTCCCATGAAATTTTGCTCAATACCTCTTCTTTTGGGGGTCAGGGCATAATTGTTTGACTTTATCCCTCTTCCTAGTACTTTTCTGTCTCACCAGCACAAAATATATATATATATATATATATATATATATATATATAAAATCACAAAATAAAAAATTAAAATGTAAACTAGTTTGGGGTGAGTGATTTATTTTTATGAAGGAAAGAATTGCTTTGTGGTGAAATTTTGAGAACTTCTGGTTAAACCTCAGACAAAAAACTAAAGTAAAAATAGACCTAGTAAGTATTTTAGGAATGAGTGTCATCAGCCTTTTGAGTGAAATATCAGACTTATCAAGTCAATTCCACAAAACCTAAATTAAATTTGGAGTTGAAAAAGGTTTCAGTGGAAGACCCTTTGCAAAAATGTGAGGAACTTTTACTTTTAGAAAGTATCATTATACAGATGACCTTTTAACACATTGAGATGGAAGAATATAAAAAGAAATGAAAAAAAATAATAGGATGAGGAACCAAGCATAAATTCAGCATAAAATAAAGTGAATTAAAATGGAGAATGGATTCAGTTAAAATAATTTTATTTTCTTTTGCACTGATGCACCTGACTTCTTTTTTCTTAGTAGTTAAACTCTGTTTAAGCCAAGTTGTGTTCTTGAAATGTAAATAGGAATCTCTATCTATAAAAGGCAGTGTGTGTGTGTGTGTGTGATGAATGCACGGCCGCAATTTTCGACGGATTTGCACCAAAATTTATATGCATATGTTCCAAGTTAGCAGGAAGGCCAAGACCGACTTTGCATTTCTCAACTCCCATCGATAGTGGAAATAATAGATTTTTTCATGCTTCTACAGCAGTTTTCATGTAGTTTGCGGCCATTTTCTACTGGCCAGAGTGAGAGCCTATAACTAGCTGCCACAAATAGGCAGGAAGATTTTACTGGCCAGCTGACTGACACAAATGTTAACTAGTATGCAAAAAAATCGATAGCTGCATTCATCACAAGTGGGAAAAATTTAAATCTGCATGGCACTTTACTCCAATTGGCTCATTCGCTTGCTTAAACTCAACGTTGATTCTGATTCTGCAGAACTGGGTTGGGTGTGAAAAAGTATTTGTTGTTAACATTCTTTTTTTCAGTTGTTTTTCCAGTTATGGGTCCTTTTTTAAAGCTGTTTTGTGTTCATTTTGTTTAGTTCTTTTTTCGTAACAGATTTAATGTTTAGTATGTAGCTTAGAAAAAATTTGCAGTGTGAGATAGGCAAGAAGTAAGGCATGTAGCAACATCAGCACAGCAAAGGGCACTCCTTTAAAGGCAAGGAAGGGCAAAAATATTTTAAGTCAAGTGATAGCGATTGCTGTATGGGTCGTACAATTTTTGAATCAAGCACGGGCAGTGCCGGGCCATGCTGCTAGTAAATCATAAAATCAGTGAAGTTTAGGGCAAATTTATTTTTAATGTTTCATGCCATCAAATTGTTTGGGGTTTACGTCTATTTATTTAATATTGATTGTATCTGTTTTTGCCTTTTGTAAATCTTGTATACGCCTTAAATTTAATAAGTTTTAAAAATAGAATTTTATATACCTCTAAATATTGTGGTTACATCTTTCATATCAAAGGCATTACCTATTAAACAAACACGATAAAATTAACATAAAATCCAAATTTGGGGTGAAAGAAAAAGATTTTAATATATTTTCTATTTTCTGATTTTAAACTTTGGTAAATTTTGACTTGATATCTATTATAGCAGATAGATAAAACAAGACTTGTTAATCCATAAAGGTTTTGATATATCATTAAATCATAACAAAATTTGTTTAAAACTGGTATTTATTCAATGCATGAGTCTTATAAAACATTTA